ATAGCAATAGCAATAGCAATAGCAGTTCGACTTATCTACCGCTTCATAGGGCTTTCAGCCCTCTCTAAGCGGTTTACAGAGTCAGCATATTGCCCCCACAGTCTGGGTCCTCATTTCACCCACCTCGGAAGGATGGAAGGCTGAGTCAACCTTGAGCCGGTGAGATTTGAACCGCTGAACTGCAGATAGCAGTCAGCTGAAGGTCATAATCCAAATTCGGATTCCAAAAATGATACCTGTGGCCAGATAAACACACACAAGAGTAATATAATAAGTCACACCATGAGTCAGTACCAAGCTTGTCAAAGCTGTAGAGCATGGTTGTTCCAACTTTTTGCTTTGCCTGAGTCACATTGAGTGAAGAATTGTCTTCGGTCACATATAAAACATATAATATAGTTAATATTTATAAATTGCATAATGTTAAAAGTTTATGATCTTGTGGGACCTCATTACTAGCTGTCCAGAGCCACATGTGGCCTGCGGGTTGAACACACGATAGTGTCTATCATTCAGGAATAGAAACTTGACACATAAAGAGTAAATATCTACCAGATATTCAAACTGCAAGGATATTTGAACATATAGAGTGATAAGCTTGACATTATACTGGAGTCATAAGTATAACATTATACTGGGGCTCACTCAGTATATATTAAATTACATACTGAGGTCATTTAGCTGAATTAGTCTATAGTATAGCTTCATTTCTTTGTTTTTTCTTTTTGCTATTATGAGGCATTTGAAAGAAAAATAGAAATAATGGAAATAAATAAACAAGAAAAATGCAATAAAGTGCAAATAAATAAACAAAAAAATTTAAAATGTCACAGAGGTAATTTTTTAAATATATTATTAGTTATTATGAACAGCTGAATATATTACAGGGTTTAAAAGGATTAAAAATTGCCCCATTAGTTAAGATCTAAGCTAAACTTGATGGTCAACACAATATAAATCACTGATAAAATTATGCGCTATAATACATTCAATCAATATTGCTAAGCGTATGTGTTCTATAAACCTGAAATCACAGAGAAACCCTAACAATGGATAATTGTAAATTCAATTATACAGTAATCAATATTATAAATAATAATAGTTATTAAGTTGTAGTCAAGGAATGGTTTCCAGTTTATGAAATACCTCCATTTCAAGGGTCTCCCTTAGGTAAGGGAGTATTCATGTTAGGTTGTGTCAGTCAGTGTACTGGGAATCTGGGTGAGAATCTTTGAGAGACAGTATTTCTCTGTGATAAATCTGATATGCAGCAACAGGGGCTTACAGAAGGAGTATAATGCATATATGTTAGGTTCTTTTATTTCTAAAAGGAATAATTCCATTCCTAATTGCCTTAATGATTAATCTCGTAATCAGTGGTGCTTCTACCTACATAAATGTACTTTGTCTCAGGTGGTGATCCTTTGAACTAAGGATAATTATTTTCCATCTAATATAGAAAGTGTGTGTTGCTTATGAAAGCAGTCTGACAGCTGATATTGATGAATCTATCCTGTTAAAAAGGCATATTAAATCAAAATGTAAAAATAACTGATTTGTAATGTATACATGCATTCTGAATTAGTTAAGATTAGATTCACAAATGGATTGGATTGTACCCTACTTATTGAATAATTTTGCCTGAAGTGGTAGGTTTGATTTCTATGCTACTACAAATGCTACTAATCTGCTAGTTAAACTTGTAAGAGTTGATTTACATTTATCTCAGCAGGCATTAGTTAAACAAAAGGCAGCAAAGAAATTCAGCAATAAAGAAAACTCTGAACTAAGTACTGATCAAGATATTGAGAACATAGCCAAAAATGAGCCAAGAAGAGTTAAAATATTTGATGGAGGGTGAGTGGTTTATTTTCCCTAAAAAGTGCTATAACTTTTGATTATTTTGAACTGAAATCTGATTATTTCACCCTCTGTTTTTTTTAAAAAAAAATAAAATTTGTATTGCGTTATGCGGAATTGATTCTTTTAGCACAATTTCCAGCAAATCTGTTGAACAGCTTTTGGGGTAGAACTTAGATAACAGGCATCTGAGTCTTTTATAGCGAAGTAGAAACATTTGTCAGTTTGAATGTATTATGCTGTTTCTCATAGTCATTATGGGTGCATCAAGTCACAAAACATGAATTTTCAGGAAAGCAAATTCATGAGCTTAAAGGAGGTGTAGCTTGGTGAAAAAATAAAAGGCCTAACTCAGAGCACAAAAGTGTATAATGGCAGAAGTCACATTCCAGTGTTCAAAATCACATGTTGCCCCAAAACAAACTATTTATTTCATTCAAAATACACAGTGATTTTCAAGAAAACACATGCACATAAATACATACAGAACTTGCAAGCAAAACATCCCACTGTGCTTTCTCTTCAATAAACTAGGACAGTGCTTTTCCACTTGGCAACTTTTTAGATGTGTGGGAAATCTGACTGGGGAATTCTAGGAGTTGATATTCACACATCTCAGTTGCCAAGTTTGCAAAAAACATTGCTCTAGAACGTTTCCTGGCACTCCAAATTTGTCATTCTCCCCCCCCCCCCCCCGGCGCCCTTTTTTTTTTTAACCAGACTATAGTGCTGGGCTGCTGTTCTCACATTTTCAAATTGTAATTTTTAAAAAATGAACTTTTAAAACATTGCAACATCAGAGTTGATGAGCTGATTTCTGTTTCAAGTGTTTTCCAAATTCCATGCCTAACATTTATTCCCATAATACTGTTGCTCACATTAGAAATTTTTTTTTTGTCCCATTTAAACTAGATATAAATCAAATGAAGAATATGTCTATGTTCGCGGGAGAGGAAGAGGAAAATATATATGTGAAGAATGTGGGATACGCTGTAAAAAGCCCAGTATGTTGAAGAAACATATTCGCACCCATACAGATGTCCGGCCATATCACTGCAATTATTGCAATTTTTCCTTCAAGACTAAAGGTAGTTCAGTTGTGGATCATTGTTTTGAGTCCCCTCCATCCCCAGGATGCTTTAGCAGATATTTTTCTGCTTGACATGTCATATTGAAATTAATATGTGATCAAGATTTTCTGTAAATTATATAGAAATGATAAACTACATAGAGATTTTTGCAATTTTTAAAACTGTTGCTTCAGGATTTGGAAGGTTGTTGTAAAGCGATGAGAACTTCAAAAGAATTTATAACGGGCCATGTCTATTACTTAAGTATGAATAAGACTTTCCTTGCCTGCCGAAACACCCAGGAGGAATTTTGGGTACAGAAGAATCTGCCCCTTTTGAGAACACATCCTGTATATAATTGGTCATACCGCCATTTATCAGGCAGACATACCCTGCAATGGTATTGATTTTACAATTTTCATTCTTGCAATTAATTCAGGCTTGGCTCATTATTACAAACTATAATGGTGCTGATTTGGGTATGCTACTGCTTTTTATAAGGAGTTACTGTAGTCAAGGATGTATAAGAAAAATGTAAGAACATTTTGAATACATTTGATCACCCAAAATACTGAATCATTATCTGTGAACCAATAATTAGCAATGTGTATTAAAGGCATGCTGGTTTCTATTTGTTCTGCCATAAGTCTAGATAGTTAAAAAAGAAATTAACCTTTTTGTAAATTATATAAAAATGAGATGACATTCACATCAGAGCTTTTGTGTAATTCTGCTCCCTCATAGCATTTAACATTAACAAACTGCTTTATTTTATTGCTTATTTTAATTAAAGGAAATGCAAATATAAAGTTCAAATTTTATGAAACTATAGAAGAAAAGTTATTGCATGATATTATAAAATTGTTTTTTTTAATTATGTCAAAGCTTGTTACAACTTTAAATGAAGCTAATCACTAGACAGTACAAGAAGCGCTGCAAAAATATCAGTAAAACAGCAAATTTCAGAAAATCAGCAACAGTTTGCGTTATTTTCCTTTAAAAGTCTCCTTCAAATCAAGCTTAACTCCTGGTATCTTCATAGATAGATATAGTTTTTTTGACAACAGTGTAGAAATAGTTACCCATTACCTTTTTAACCACTGTTACATTTATAAGTCTTATTTTGCTTAGTCTAGGACAGAGCAATCTGAAATACTCAAAGTGCCACAAAAGTCCTAACCGAAAGCCCCCCCC